TTTTAGGATTTAGAAAGTGCTCAGAGCCGGAAGTAGTGGTGAACACCTGGGATTATAGGTATTCACTACTACCCCTGCAGATGTAGTGAATTTTCTTTTTTCTTTTTTTGTCTTTTTGAGACAGGGTCTTGCTATGCAATTGAAGCTGGCCTTGAGCTCACTTTGTAGCCCAGGCTGATCTCACACTCTCAGCAATCCTTCTGCCTCAGCTTCCCGAGTGCTGGGATGCCAGGCGTTGCCACCATGCCTGGAACATAGTGAGTTTAAGGCCTGGACTGTACAGTGAGAGCCTGTGTCGAAAAAACAACAGGAGGGGCTGGCCAGATAGCTCAGCAGACTAAATCACCTGCTTAGGTAGACGCAGGGGCCAGGGTTCGATTCGCAGCGTGCTCTGTCGGCCTGGCCCCACCCCTGGGGTGCACTGGGCATGGGGGTGCACGCCTGGAATCCCAGCTCTTGGGAGGCTGAAAACAGGAGGATCACTGTGAGTCTGATCTGTGCAAGGAGGACCCTGTAGACCCTGGACTAAAATACATTTTAAAAAAACAAAACAAAACAGGGCCAGGAAGTTAGCTTAGCAACTTAAGTGCCTGCCTGGCAAGCACAAGGTCCTGGGTTTGATCCCAGTACAAAAAAAAAAAAAAAAAAAATCTAAACAAGCAGCAAAAAAGATATTCCTGGCCAGGGGAGAGGGAACTGTTAGCGTAACACAGATGCCTGAGACGATCATTTGAAAAGAACACATGGTCAGGTGTGGTGACTGCAGATGTAATCCCAGCCCTCGGAGGCTGAGGGAGGAGGATCACCCCAAGTCTGAAGTCAGGCTGGGCTACACGGTGAGACTGTCACATACAAAACCAGAGGAAAGGACCCGTGGCTCATGGCCTTGGCAGTATGGTCCCTGCCAAGGGTGGCGCCCTGGCTTTCAGTCCTGTGGCCGTCATCAGCACAGTCCCCACCGGGCCCAGTGTTAGCCTCTTTCTGAGCAAGCCCCACCTCCCTATATCTTGGGTTCGGGATCAAACTTTCACCTCATAGGGTCTGAGGGACACTCAGCACCCCACATTTCTGGCTCTTTGCACATCTGACAAAAGCCACATTGAGGCCCGCACTTGATGAGGGCTGTGTCCCAACTCTACGGTCACGGATGCCCCAGTACTCTAGGGCAGAGGCTCGGACATTCACTACGACACTGTTTTGCTCCTGGTCCTCACAGCCTCTGCTGGGGACAGGGTTTCATTGAAATGCATGGCTGCTAGAAAGAAGGCCCCTGAGTGGTGGTGGGGGGCTGAAGTGCACCCCAAGAAGAAAAGGTAATGAGGAATCTGAAATGCAGGGAAGGGAACCCCCGTGGGCAGAGCAGGAAGCGAAGCACACAGACCACTGCTTGGCAAGTTTTGGGGTGCAGTAAGAAGACCAGACCAGGGCTTATGGAACAGGAAGAAGATAGCTTCTTGTTTTGACCAGTTAATAATTCTTTTTCCAAACTGGGATTAAACGTGGGAACTTTGCACTGAGCTACATCCCCAGTATATTACGAATTTTTTGAGATTCTTTTATTTTCATTTATGTATTTGTATAGGGTCTCACTACACAGCTCGGATTCAAACGATTCTCCTGTTTTCAGCCTGGGATTACATGCACGTGCCACTACGCCCAGACTCATTTGCCAGCTCAGCGCCCCCGGGGGTAGGGCTGGCACAGCATGTGCAACCGGGATTGAACCCTGGTCTCTATGCTTGCCTGAGAAGGCACTTAGTCTGCTGAGCTGTCTCGCCAGCCCGAGATCATTCTTGTGCCGCCAGTCTGGCATCATTCCTATTCAGAATCTAAACAAGCTACAACTCAGTCTCTGCAGGCTGTTATCTGAGCATGGCAGGGCTGCTTTGAGGAGCTCAAGGACGGCCCTTTCTCTGCCCCTGGGAGTAGGGCAGCTCCTTCCCCTGGTCTGGATCTGAACCCGTCCTCGCTCTAATCTGTCTTCCTCAAAATAAGTCACCAGGGTGGAACTGCCTATAGCTTTAGCCCAATCACCCAAAGCATCAGGGGCCCCCGAGCGAGGCTTATAAAGATGGACCGAGTGGTCCGAAGGAAGGGTGTGCAAGAAAAGGAAGCTGTGGTTTGGAGTTACTTTCAGATAAGGAAGTCCCATGGCATCCCTTCTGTGACCTGGGCTCATGGAAGTCCTGTGGCACCCTTCCTGTGACCTGGCTCGACCAAGAGTTCCAGGGCTAAGCATGTGTTGGGAGGAAGGGGGCGCAAAGAGCTTCAGGGTTGGCCTTGGTCCAGGTCACCCAGGGAAGAAAGAAGGTGCAGGAGGGTCCACAGTTGTCGGTGCCTCCCCAGCTTGATGACACTAGATTGTCATCAAGAGCCACTCAGGATGCCCAGGCATCTTATGCTCAAAGCCCATGGCCCTTTGGACTCCCAGAAAAAGGATGGAACAGAGCAGATGGGACCAGTTTGCCCCAGGTCTTCATGTTCTTTGCCCTTGGCACTCCTGGGCTAAGTAGAAAACCTTCACTTCTCTTCCTCTCAGGCTTCCCAGAGAGCAGGGGCAGCCAGGGAAACCACACATGCCAGCCTGCTCCTGTACCCAGGACCACTTAGGTTCAGGTTGCAGCAAAGCCCTATTAGTCTTTTTTTTGGGAGGGAGGGGTACAAGGAATTGAACTCAAGACCTTGCACTTGCCAGGCAGGTG